AATAAGTACTTTAAAAGAATGGAGTTATGAGCCTAAGACTGAAAATCGATTCAACTAGTATCAATTCTTGATCATCTCTCTGCAAAAATCATCTCTTTTTTTTTTTTTTTGGGTTAAAGAAAAATGGTTTGACAGTTGACTCCTGTTAATTAGTCAACCACAACATCAACATACGTGCGGAAAGTAGGTAAATAATCCATGCAACCATGCTAACACTTTAATTTTGCATTAGATCCTTCAATTTACTAGATTTAGGAGGTGACTTGAAACAAAATGATAGAGAAAGAGATGAATAAAAAAAAGTGGGCTGTTTGGAGATAAGGTAAACCGAAGCACTAGAGAGTGAGAGTCGTTTTCATTGTGCCAAAAATTTCTTCTAAAAGAGGAAAGAAGCAGATAGTGTGTGCTAAATAATAGGCTTTTTCTTATGAGTTGAAATTTCAAGAACCCAATGTAGGCTAGGCTAAAAGGAGATCAATTGTGGGCATGGGTCAACTTTATAGTTCATTTTGATTAGGCTTCGAGATGTGATAATAATCATCATGGGATTCCTCATGAATTTTGAAGGATTTGGACAAGATTGGACTAAAGGGGAAATTGGCTTTTTGGTTTTAGGAGAAGAATGTAGGCTTTGTTACAATGAATGAATAGAAAGCCATATAAGACTATAACTATAAGGATAATGCATTACATACCTTTCGGTGATTGATCATCTGAAATTCAACATTTTTTTTTTTGCATGTAACTATCACCATATCACTTAAAAGTTTAATTCCTTATTTCGCTATAATTGAGAGAAATATGAATAGCAAGTCAAAACTTTACACAATTTCCTACTGAAGTAATATTCATAAGAAAATACGTACCAATATTGCTTAGTGCGTTGAAAATGTTTTCAGGTTTTCATAACCGAGAATTTTGGGTTTGGGACTGGAAGGCATATAGCGAAAGTTCGTGACTGTCATGGAAATAAAATATTTCAAAAAAATTCTACGGTGGATGTGATAACATGATTGACCTCTTTGCCTACAATGGGCATGTATAGGGATTAGTTTAGATAGTTGATTATACTGCTTGGTGAGTTTCAACAAGTACTCTGGAAGTGACATTAACTAACATGATTGAGGCCACCTAAGTTATGCCTTTAATCTCAATGACTAGCCAGTGCTCTGGTGTAGTTTAGAAGTAACTAACATGATGGTTAATTGTTGGATATTTTTGCTGATTGACAAGACCGAAGTATTTCCTACTTTATGTAAATTTTTTGTCATGAGCGCCAGTTTAGTAAATTTGTCAAAAGTATTCGGAATGACAATGATACCGAATTTATGTGCATGTCTAGTTATTTTCTTAAACATGAGATTTTTCATGAGAATTCCTATGTGGGTACTCCTCAACAAAATGCTCGGGTAGAGAGAAAGCATAAACATATTCTTAATGTCGCTAGGGTGTTGCATTTTCAGGCACAATTACCTATTGAATTTTGGGGGGAATGTGTTCTTACGGCTGGTTATTTAATCAATCATACTCCCTCTAGTGTCTTACATGGCAAAACCCCATATGAAATTTTATATGGCAAAACATTTTCTCTTTCTCACCTGTGAGTATTTGGATGTTTCTGCTATGCTCATAACCCGGTCCACAAACGTGACAAATTTTCTAGTCGCAGTCGTAAATGTATTTTTGTGAGTTATCCTAAGAGAAGAAGGGCTGGAAGGTTTATGATCTTGAAACTGGTGAATTCTTTGTTTCTCGAGATGTTATTTTTTCTCAGACTGAGTTTCCCTAATCATCTCCTCCAAGTGGTCCTCCTCCTTCGGTTGAGAATCATATTTTTTTTTTGAAAGATAATGATGATATTTCTAATGATGTTGTGGTTCCACCTTCTGATGTACATATATCGGTTCCTCATGTTTCTGAGTCTGTTACTATGGAATCACCTCCTTCTCCCCCTACTTCAGTCGACAGGGGGGGAGCGGGGGCGGGTCTTCTTCTACTGGGCAACAAGAAGAACTTCTGGGTCGTGGGCATCGGGCCATGTTCCGCTATACTCATCTCATCGATTTTGTGTCTAAAACTATTGCCTTACCTAGCCCCTCTCCACACTCATCTTCTTCCTCAGCTTCCTCATGTGCATTTTATCCTATCCATAACTATGTCACTTGTGCTTCTTTCTCCTTATAACATCGTGCTTTTTTGGTCAGTATCACTGCAGATGATGAACCATGGACTTTTGTTGAAGCTGTGAAAGATGTTCGATGGCGCACTGCCTTGCAGCAAGAGATTCATGCCCTTGAACAAAATAACACTTGGACCATTGCTTCGCTACCTCCTGGGAAGCGGGCTATTGGGTGCAAATGGGTGTTCAAAATCAAGCATCAATCTGATGGCTCGGTTGAACGCTATAAAGCTCGCCTTGTCATTTTGGGCAACAACCAAATCGAGGGTCTTGATTACAATGAGACATTTTCCCCTGTCGTAAAGATGGTCGCGGTTCGTACTTTGCTTTCTGTCACTGCTGCCAAAGGCTGGAAACTCCACCAGATGGACGTTCATAATGTCTTTTTGCATGGTGATCTCACAGAAGAAGTTTACATGAAGTTGCTTCCTGGTTTGGTTCCTTCCCACACTAGCAAAGTCTCGCCGGCCCTTGTATGGGATGTGTCAGGCTCCTAGCTGTTGGTTTGCTAAATTGGCTAGTTCTTTACGTCGATATGGCTTCCAGCGATCTCAGTCTGACTACTCTCTCTTTACTTTGCATCACGATACTTTGCAGCTTAATGTCTTAGTTTATGTTGATGACCTAATTATTTCTGGCAATGATAGTGTTGCTATTCAATGTTTCAAGGATTACTTCCTGTTTTCATATGAAGGATCTTGGGGTCCCGAAATATTTTCTTGCGATTGATGTAGCTCGTAATCCTTCTGGCATTTTTCTCTATTAGCGCAAGTACGCCTTGGATATTATTTCTGAGGTTGGTTTATTGGGCACTAGTTTTCCCCTTGAATAGAATCATCAGCTTCCGTTCGTCATTGATGTACCTCTTTCTGATCCAGAACGATACAGACGTTTGGTTGGTCGTTTGTTCTATCTGGCTGTTACTCGTCCAGAACTTTTTTATTTTATTCATATGCTTGCTCCGTTCATGCAGAAACCTGTGCAAGCACATTCAGATGTAGCACTTCGTGATGTTCGATACTTGAAGGGTCATCCTGGTCAGGGTCTTTTCCTCAGTGCCTCGTACGATCTACAGATCTCCACCTAGTGTGACTCTGATTGAGTTAGTTGTCCTACTACTCTTCGTTCTTTGATGGGTTGGTTTGTTCAGTTAGGACAATCTCCTATCTCTTGGAAGACCAGAAACAGCAGACAGTTGCCCGTTCTTCTGCTGAAGCTGAGTATCATGATATGACTTCTACGGTTTATGAGTTGAAGTGGCTTCGGGGTTTGTTATTGTCTCTGGGTGTGTCTCATTCTCAACATGCGCAACTCTTTTGTGATAGCCAGGCAGCTTTGCACATTGCTGTCAATCCGATTTTTCATGAGCGCACCAAACACATTGAAGTGGACTGTCATTTTGTGCGCAATGAGATTACCAAGGGTGCTATTCTTCTGAGTTACGTACCTACGCATGTGCAACTGGCTGATATCTTCACTAAAAAGCTCTGGGGAAATCCCAGTTTGATTACTTCCTTGGCAAGTTGGGCATTCGCGCGGGAGCTACATGCCCCAACTTGAGGGGGGTACTACGGTGTTAGGGTTTAGTAAATATGATGTAATTATCTAATTACCTAAGTTACTAGAGGTAGATTAATTTTCCACATTTTACGATGATCTACCACCGTTTATTGTTGTATAAATCAAACCCTAATGTGTATATGAAAGGTAAGAAAGCCTAGCCGTCAATTAGGCTTTTTTCCGATCTTCATTCTTGTTATTTTGCTTCTTGATTATGGTTCAAAGAATCATGTCCTTGATGATGAATGTTGTTTGGTTTGAACAAACTAATGATATAGGAAAATACCTAAAGAAATTTTGCATGACAATTCATTGATAGCCCTAAAGCTATTGACTTAGGGAGATAGAGATGTAAACACGTTTGTAAGTACTATAAAATGTATTAATCGTTCAAAAACTTGTTTTTACTCCTAGAAGAAATCCGTAACAAAATGAGCTGAAACACTCCATTACAGGTATTTCACACTTTGTTCACAGCTACAAGCTTCGATAATTGATTTACATTTTGCTTTTAATAGGTTTGGGGGGGGTGGGGTTGCACTTTCTTATCAAAATTTTGGCTTACTTCTTCTGCTCCATCAGGAGGGTTTTATTTACTTGCGAATTAAATAGAGATAATAATTAGGGATCATGAAATACACTGCCGTCCTTCATGTGCTTGAATTGTTTGATACGTAGCGTTTTTTCTAGAAAATTCTTCTTTTCGATAAGTTGAATAATTTGTATGTATAATTTATGATAATATAAATCTGAGGTACATATATCCATCCGGAATCATTAGTTCCCATAAAACAAGATTAGAAACGTTACCGCCAAGAGTAGAAACTATGACACAAGGGTAATTTTCTGGTTTATTGCCATGAATGGCCGGAATGAGAATACACATTATCCTCCATTACTTGGTGGATATATATTTCTCAATTTGGTGGGAAAAATGAAAATTTATGTAATTTTTGCCCTGAGAAATGAGAATAATTATCATAGTCTTCGAAATAAAACATTAGTTTGGCCCATGTTTTCTTCACATTTTCCAAATGAAAAAGTATTTAGATTCTAGGACTCAGTAGTCCATTACAAAACATCTCCATTTTGGGGAAGCCCATTATCTTTAGTTCTTGAATTGGTTTTTGCTCCTTCTTCCCTTTCTTGGGGGACACTACGAAATCAGGAATGTAATCGTTTGACTCTAGGCTTTTAGCCCCCTTTAATCCAAAAAAAGAAGAAGAAGAAATAATTAAGTACGATTGACCTTAATTTGAAGTTTGCAAGTACCATGATGTACATAAAATTAAATCTCAATATTGTGTAATTCACTCATATTAATCACAACATCATAATTTACAAACGCTCACACCAATATTTCAGCGTACAAACAATATTCTTTTGGACATCATCAACAAAACAAATTAACCAAAAACAACATTTTCAAGTAAATCATATATAAATTCTTAGTGACTAATGGCTAACAGTGCCTGCGATTGCTTCTCATACTTAAAACCCTGAGATTTTGAATCATCAGCAGACCAAACAAAAATCCCTCCCAGCTGACCCTGACTCTTCAGCCTGCTACACGCCGTGAAAAAACCGTTTTCCGGCGACAATCCGCCGTCCCCGCCGGTACTAAAACTGGCCATAATCTTCCCGCCATCATAGTTGTTACTCTGTTCTTCAAAATACCCCATGAACTGATCCACAGTTGTGTCCGAATCATAAGCATAGAACTGGAAATTCACAAAATCAATGATTCCGCCATGGCTATTCCACAAAGCCCTGTAATGGCTTTGGACAGCGCCATCATCGTAAGGCGCAATCGATGCAAACGAAATCACCCTGTTCTGCTTCAGGGTCGAGATCAATTTCCCGATGCATTGAGAAAAGATTTCGGGGCTGGAATGGAAATGCTCGTAATCGATGTCGATTCCGTCTAAATTGTACTTCCGGATTATGTTTGTGAGGGATGAAACAGCGTTGGAAACCCACGAATCGACGGAAGAAGGCTGGAAAAACACCTTTTGATCGTCGTCGCCGATGCTGTCGCCGCCGAGACTCAGGGCAACTTTAACATTGGGATGCTGGTTTTTAATGGATTTGACAGATTCAGGGGTGAGATTGTCTGTGTCCCAGAACACGTTGAATTTGCCATTTGTTGGAGAAGGGGATGATGATGATTCGTCGTAATCGATGGCGAATGAGAGGATGAAGTGGAATTCAACGTTGGAATGGATGGGTAAGTCGGAGAATTTCACGTTGTTGAACTCTGCTCCAATGTATTCCCTGAAAACGTTTGATTGAGCTGCTGAAATGCCCTGGAATTGGAGTGAACACAAACTGAATAGAATCATTGATTGAATAGCAAAAAAGCCGATGAAAATCCTGGAGAAATCCATGATCAGGATTCAGGAAAGACAGGAACAGATTCTTAGGAATGTGCTCCTCCAATGTTATATATGCTCAATGGATAGAGATATGAAGTTCCAGCTAATGCAAATTGATGCATTTATAGAGTTCTTGGGCAAATGAATTAATCACCCAACAATGGGATTATCAATTATCCGTTTTGCCGTAACAGTTGTACTGACATAATCTTTGGAAAATGACTTGAAAATAATCCGAGGATACCTAAGAGGCTAAGACGTAGGTGACAAATTTCGATTCGGACCAGAATGGGGTCGGAAATCGGAATGAGAGATTGGGTTTTGGTTCGATTTTGGTTAGAATAATGGTATCCGATATATTTTTGTATGTACATTACATTAAATCATGAATTGCCAAACTGCTTATATATAAGCAACATTAATATATATTATTATGGTCTTCCTTTCTTATTGGTAATTATATATTTACGACAGTAAATATTTGTATATGGTTTCAATCTTACATAGTAGTCGCTCCTTAAAATTATCCTTCTAATTATAAATAGTCAAATTGGAGTGAAGATATTCAATTAGGGACCCCGAAATTAAAATTACAAAATTATTTGAAACTATCTATGTTGCAGTTTAATTCTTGTTTTAACCGTTGTGAAACCGGAAAGCAACAAAATTATTCTATCCATGTGTTACATCCCTGTTATTAATGTAACAAAACTGATCATGATATGAACATTTATCACACCCTTTTATTTTGTAACATTTTTTTTTCCAACAACTTTTAGTGCAATTTTACGTGGTGAAGCATATCATCACTCAATATTTTATCTTACTTGTGCTATCATCCATAACAACAATAATACAGCCTTAGTCTTTTGTTGAGAATAGTTTACCGTGTCGTAAGAAAAAAAAAAGTCTGGTTCCAGAAGTAGTAAAATTTATAGTCTAACCCGAAGATGGTAATATTAACTTATCCAATTATGATGCATGGACGATTTAGGAATGATCAAACAGTAATTCGTATAGTTGGGCAGTTTTTTTGGATTTGTGTGTGTGTGTGTGTGTGTGTGTGTGTGTGTTTCTTTTCCTTTTTTTAATCTAAGATAAGTTTTTAGGAATCAACAAAGTCAGACTCCTTACCGTGAAAGAAAATTACAAAAGGACATGGGAGTTGATTCCCTTATCCCCCCTATTCGATTAAAAAGATGTGATGAATCTCTTGGATGGCAACTTTGATTCCCTCTTATTTAATTTGCCTCTTTGAAATAAAAGCCAAAAAGAAAAGTTTTTAAAAACACACATCATCTTTGATAGTTGACCACCTTGCTTGATTTAGTTTTTACCCATGTTGATAATATTGATACCGTTTCAATCAAATGTAAAACAACAAAAAGAAAAGGTCCTTTTTTTTTTTTTTTACCTTGGAAATTCTCCTTGCGTTCTATTTTCATTTTGGCCCCTTTAGTATATGCATATGTACGTACGTATACTTGTGAATATCTTTATACTCCATCTGTCCCATAAAACTAAAACTTAAATTGGACAATAATTATGGGACGGAGGGAATATTTGTTAAATCAAAATGACCCTGTGATGGAGCACTACGTTACATCGTGAAAAAAAGAAGATGATAAAGTTATATATAGACTGTATTTAATTAGACATTGTCTAATGACATAATCACCAAACTAAAACAATGAACTACAAGTTGCTCTACTCATCGTAAGGATAGGGAAAACATGAAATCCATGATAAGGATATGAAAACTCTCTTATACATGCTTGGGAGACAAATCAAGCAGAAAAAAGACGACAATGAAAAGCAATTGGAGTTTTTTCCCCCCAATCGTCGATGCTAGAGGAATGGAGAAAGAAGATGAAAGTATTTAATAAAGAGTTTGAGGTAAAGTTTATATACTTTTGAAAAACTAATATTTATTCTGTTTCACATATAATATTTTAATTCAACAAAATAAACTATTTATTTTGTTCCACCAAAGTAGTCCGTATTACAAATTTGTAAATTGTACTAAAAATAATGCAGTTCATTGATTACAATGCGAATCACTACTATTTTATTTTTTTTTTTGTCCGGACGAGAGTAATATCTTTTCTTAGCAAAGGAGTGCAAGACCTTAGAACCATGATGGTCCTCATTCCCATAAAACATAGTTAGCACTTAGCACTCCTGAAATTATGAAAAACAGATTTTGATCATGCTAGTTGGGCTCTTCCTGAAAAAGCCTGCACTTTAGTTAGCCCATCTAAATGGGTTAGTTCTATCGAAGATCTAACAGACAAGCTCACTCAAAAATAGCTCTTTAAAATTTCATCCCTTCACTCTTCCTCATTGGATCCTTGTATACGTCATTGTTTCAGGAGTTTTATATACTCTTTGTCCCTGTTTTAAACAATAATTCACGATAAAACTCAAAATTCAATATGAATTATTTTTAGGTCATAAGCAGTATAAAAAAGTGTAAGAGAGGTACTAATATTTATAAAAGCATTTCCGGTTCTATGGAGTTTTTAACAAAAGTTGGGAAGTTCCTAATTCTCCCAAAATTTTATCATGGTGTAATAGAATTCACTTATGTCCACTGTCAATTAAATTTTCATAGCTCTGTAAAGGGCGAAAGCTTGAATGTTGACATGTCTGAACTTCAATTATTTCCCTTGATAATAAAATTAACCTTTTTTTTACCAAAAACAAAAGTTGGGAAGTTTTCACTTTTGTGGTGAATCAGGATGAAGATTAATTTCTTGAGACATCAGCATCCTCAAAATCAAAACCAACACTACTTTCTTCTTGGCGACCATTTCTTCTTTACTTTTTGTCATTTCTCTGCCAATACCAAAAATGTTGGAGCTTCCTAACTATACATCCATCCACGTGAATGATTTTTAATTTTATTTTTTTCGCCTTTTGCTCCCATCCATCAATCAACAACAATAAAAAGTTTAGCCCAAATATAACATTTTTTTTTTATAAATGTAGATTTAGATAGTAACGTTAAGGAATTGATGAAATCGAATCGGAACTATAACAAACTACCATGGAGGAATAACTATACTTAAAAAAAAAACTTATGAAGGAAATATATAATGTGGATGAAATCAGAATCGTTAACTTCTATACATTTTACCTTTTGGCGTTGTACAGTTTTACATCCAATCACATCAGTACTCCTGTTGAGCTTTCTTGAATCATTTTCATTGATCAAGGGTATCACGAATCTCATTATCAGTGATAACAAGATCCCAACCCTCAAGTCTCTCTTGCAAATGCCACTTCATAAAAAAAAATAAAAAAAAAAGGGGTATGGTACATTTCAGTCAGGAATTTCAGGTACTAGTTTAAATTCATGGGACATATTGGTCGTTAATTTTGTAGATTGTGTATTCGGAGTCTTTTGATTTCCCACCCTCATTAATTAGTTTACATGGTTCCAGAAAGGGGGAAAAAAAGGAAAAGAAAAAAAATAATCAGTTGACCTTGAAAATCATTTTTCTATGTAAGTTTCTTGGTTGGAAAACCATAGGAAATCTAGTGACACTGATGAGGAATTATGTTTATATTTTTTTAGAGTGGGTTTTTTTTAGGTATTTTTTCTATTGAAAATGTAAAAAGGTATATTAGAAATATAAAAAGATATATTAAAATAAGACATTTAATTAAATTATTATGAAAAACCATAAAAAAACCAGACAGAGTTGTGTTTTCAAACTCATTTAACCCTCATTCAACTACTCTTCCCTGTAAACCATTGTATTGATTAATTGTCGATTAAATTGCCACTTCTTGGACGGAATTTTGCTATTGATTGTCACACGTATAGTTGAGATGAATTTTTTTTTTTTTCTGGAAAAAAAATCATATAACTGAGAAATTGATCAAGGGAAGATTACAATCCAAAAATCTAAATAAAAAAAAAAAAACAAACTAAAAAGGTCAGCTACATTCATTTCTCAAAGGAAGTTGATTTTGGTAGCTAGCGTGTACAATATCATGTAGCCAAACATGAAGTACAATGAAAACGTACAAGAAGATACAAGGCATCAATACCATATATTTATAGAGGAGGTCCACCCAATCTTCTGGTAACCACATTGTCAGATTTTCAGATAGCCATTAATTACTAAATAGTAAATCTATAAGAAGAGTGTTTTTATCTCTTTTAAGTATGTCATGAATTCATTAAGTAGTTTTTCCGATTAAATTCACTGTATCTATAATTAGTCGAAAATTTTATCGATAATAAGAATGACACAAGGAAAAAAAGGTAAAGTTGAGCATGTGGTGGCTAGTGAATGTCATACAAATTGTATAACAATAACAAGCTGTCTCTGTGCCCAAAACTTTCTATTGGGCTGATGAAGGAGAATTATTGTTTGTGATTCAGTTTTTCAGTGCAGTGATATAGTAGTACTACTTCTGAGAAAGTGACACTTTGAAGAGAAGTAAAGGACACGAGAAGCATATATAGTAGTTAGAGTATATCCTAAGTTTTTCATGTGTTTTGTGGTATCTTTGCTGACAGTTTCACTTGACTGACAAAACTGGTAAACAATCATCCACTCTACTGCAGTTTCTGCTTTCTGCACAAGTCATTTGATCCCCCTCTTTTTCAGTTTTCAGTCCCCCCTCCCCATACTTAATCTTTAACTAAATGGCTTGTTTGAACGTCCACTCCACTGGCATTTTCAACTCATTTTGCATCTTAAATACAAAACTCAATACAGATCAAATTAAAGTCCAAAAAACTTTTTGATTTACATTTTAAAATTAAACTTGAAACATTTTGTTAGTGCAGTGACCATTTTTTGAACTAAAAATAGTTCAGTGACTAAATCTAAAACTTTGCACATTTATTTCAGTTTGCCTCTAGTCAAAAAACCGAGACCTAATCGGATGGTGGTTAGGAAAAAGTTTTTTGGAATATGTATTGAAACATTAAGTACGAAAAATATCACTAAAGAATCAAAAAGTGTCAATTTTAGTTACTGTAAAAAAAGAATTTAAAAAATAATCAGTAAAAAACGAAAAAGCGTCAATTTTGGTCATTGTAAAATATTAATTTTAGAAACTATTTCGTGATTTTAGCAGCTATTCAAAAACATTGCTTCAGAGGCTGACACAATATTTCCTTTGTCCCATTTTAAAGTAACACAAATTAACTATTAAAATGGAACGGAGAGAGCCATATCTCCCATTTATTAATGTTACTGCCATTAATTTATTCTCCAAAATTCGGCTTTAGAATGGTCAAAATGCTGCTTCAGATGTATGAATAAAAGAAGCATCTTGAGCATGTGACAGACAGTAGATAACAAGGTGGGATGATCAAAGAGGGGAAAAAATGATAATGCAGTTCACTTTCTAGTCTTTTACTTCAATAAACTGTCATTAAAATACCTGTCTTTCATGTGGATAAATCATGTTTGACACTACAAAAATTGCTTTGATGGCAAAATCACCAGCAAGCTCATTCTTACTTGGAAGTTTAGAAATTCCTTTTCTTTCCCTTTTCCAGTTTTCCTTTCAGCAACTTTATTGTTTTGTAGGCAAGATTGGTTGGAGAGTAACTTTCAGTTAAATACTACTATTTCACTCCTCCAAGCCTTGTAAAACACATACATACATATGTAGCCCATTTTAAAACATTAATGGAAGTGGTTAAGGGAAGATAAGCTATGACATGATAGTATATATGTACACAGGAATTATTATTATTTTTAAATCCAAAGAGGGGTGTTTCAAACTAGTAGTGGAAAATGAATATAACTCGCCTCTTAACTTAGCGGTAACACAAACACGATATCAAAGTTAAGATCTATTTAATATTATAATTATTAAGAAAGTATAACCAATGATTTTAAATTATTAATTACGAATTTTACGACTACTAATAGCATAAGAACGGATATATAAGACAATATATAGTCACAAGATTCAGGTTCGGGGATAAATTAACCTAATGAAGGGGAAAAAGTATTTAAGGTAGAGGTTTAGAATTAAGATTAAAATTGGTGAGTTTGGTACTTGGACATGTGCGGCCTTGAAGAGGTCCTTGTCACATGGGGTACCTTTGAAACCACAAACAGCCCACCATGTCTACCTTTTTTTTTAAAAAAAATTCCCCTCATTTTCTCCCGTTTTTGCTCTTAATCTCCAGTTTTTCTATTTACCTTTATACCCTAGTAGTTAGTTATAATAAAAATAATAATTCTTGTCCAAGATATTACCATCATTTTGTTTCTTCTTGTGTTTCTTGAGTCCTGTCCCCACATATCAGATGGAATATTATTATTTATTTCCTGCAGTATTATTTTCATGAATTAGAGATTTCAAACTCTTGCTTACTAGTAATACTACATCAGTCTTTAGAAAAGTTTTAATTAGAAAACAGGTTATTGATGTTTGTGAAGATACGGCTCTGTCGGTTTGGGGATTAAAATTGTTCTTATGTTAATCCTAAGACAAGTAGAGGGCATTTTTATTGGATTCCCTTAAGTGTTAGGTCAGTAATTAATTTTTCCCGTTTGAATAGCTTAATGCCTTTATCCATTTAAAACTTTATTTATGGAAAAACTAGCCCAAATGAGATGAATGGTTTAAAAGGACGCTAAAAAGTTTAAGTGTATATTATTTTTTAAGAAAATTTTATAGTATCGTCGACTGAATAGTTCTGTCATCAATGATTCAAATATTATAATAATTTTTTCACATAGTAAGAAATTGTGATTTAATTACTTGGATATTCAGTCCTACATGCCCTAACAAAAGTATCCCTTTTTACTTTTCGTAATTTGTGAAATTTCTTGGTTTAATTTGAACTTAAGTAAGGGAAATGTGATATAACAGGCTAAAAACACAAGTACTATTAATTAAAGCCAATACTTATTTGAGCAATAAATGCAACATATGGTAAGGTAACAATAATTGTCGACCAGAATAACATGGATTAAATAAAGTAGATCAGTTTATTAATTTGCCAATAGTTTCGAATTAATTAAAATCGTAGATGGCACTATCATAGTCAATTTTCTAACTTGCATTAGAGGTAAAACATCTCCTATCATCGTCTTCACTCTTTATTAAGAATCAGTCACGGAAAAATAAAAATCTTATTAATAATTCCTTGTTCAAGAGAACTAAAGGAATCTTTAAAAATAAATATTTTACTTGTTCAGTCTACTATTCCATTTGTAATAAATTCGACATTTTTTAAAACGGATCTGTACTAACACTAAAATAGCTCGTTTTAGTGCTAGATGTGACCCCAAATTCCCAATAAAGAAGAAATTCTAACGGCCCCAACCCTATATGAGAACAACCCAATAAATTCAAATTCAATGCATTTGAATCGTCAAATCAATTTCATGTCAAAAAGTTAAATAAATAAAAATGCAGATGACAAAATAATGAATCGAACCGCGGCAGTTTTACAATTGCTGCATATTGATGAACTCATGAATGGATTTAGAGGGTAAGACAGTCGATCGACCCTGGCCGGCCGAATTTTCTCATAACAAGGGTGTTTGAGAGCTTTTTGCACTTCTATTTTTCCACGATGGTTTAATAACTCTTTTTTCAACCATTTAGTTGGAAGCTCTCATACTGACATAAACTGCCATTTGATTTGAATCAAGATTAAATCTTCTATAGTGAAGTAACCAATCAACAAATACTCTTCCGTAAAACATGATTTCTTAGTTTTGTTCGAAATTCTTAATATCAGTAATTTACGATATAAAAATACAGGTGTGAAACTTTTTTTTAACAAAAAAAATATTTTTGGTCTCTGAAAATATGTTTTCTTAAGAACGTACATTATTTCCCACTTTTCGGCAAAACTTAATCTATGCTAATAAAGTACTATGATAAAAATAGATGATTAATCAATCAAATCCATATACATAGATAGGAAAATAAAATATTTTCATTAGTTATGCCCTAAATTTATTATATAATAATCAGTTACCACGTAATTATCATGTAATCGTAAGAATGTCGAAAAATATTAGAAAGACTCATGACGTAAAAAGGTAAAACCATAAACCAATGAGATTTTTTTTGTTTTAAAAAAAAAATTTGCAACTCCAAATCATTTTCGTTATAACAAACTCAATATGCTTTTAATGAGTTACAATTGTAAGACGGTGTATGTAATATCAATAATCGTGGAATACTATAAAATAATCCAACAAAATGAAAAATGATCCTAACTTGTATTGTACGGTTTTGAGTGAATTGTTTTGAGATCGAATCCTACCATATTTATCAAACACAAGAAGAAAAAAAAAAAAAAACCAATCACAGAAAATCTGATATTCCATTGACTTAGCAACCCGTATTAGTAGGAAGATTAAAGAAATCATGTTAATGTCATCATAATCAAGCAGGCCTAATTTTCTCCCCCGGGCGACAAATCATCAATGGCAAGTCTCGTAAATATTCAAGAATCCCGTGACTACTTTTCCTACTCCCGCTCCAAATTTTCAGCCTCCTTTTTTTTTTTTTTTCTCTCTCTATTTAATTTTCAAACTCGTCGTTAGTTCTACAACGGTCAAAATTTTTTTTTCTCCTTCCCAAACGGGCAACTTAACGCCGTCATTTTCATCCTCCCACCAAATCCTCCTCCTTTTCCTAAATTTCAAACGCTTTCCGTAACGGCCAAATTTTTTTTTTAATTTTGGATCTCTTTTCATTTCTCTCTCTCCGTCTCTCTCGTACAAACACACAGTCACACACAAACAGCTCATCACCATCATCATCAACCTCAGAGCTATATCTTTCTTTTCTCCCCCAAATTTTTATTTAACCTAAAAAAAAAAACCTCTGCAAAATTCCATTAGAAAAAAAACATCACTCTCTCATTTCACACTATTTAGCTCTGTTTCTCTCTCTGCGAGATTTTTATCTTCCTCTACTTTCTCTCTCTACAATCTTACACACAGTGTTCACGTACTATTTTGCAATTTTTCCTCCGATTTTTTAGTCGTACGTGTATATAAATATATTGCGGGAGAACGTTTGAAGCTGTCAAACGGCCGGCCGGCAGGCAATCCGATATTACTTTTTTTTTTTGGTAAGTTTATACGTACAGCATTGTCGTATTTAAAGCGTTTTTTTTTTTGTGTGGAATGACAGCAATTGTTCGAGTAATTTGGCTTGATTCCTCTGTTTTCATCGCTCTGTTTTTTTTTAATCCATTATTGTCTGGTTAGGAATCGTAGTCACCATTACGGATTATTGATTTACGGTTTGTAATTTCTTCATTTTGTAAAGCTTGATTGAAAAAAAAGAGAGTAAAATTTGGTATTTCCTGATTTTTGGAGATGTAATACGTTTTTCTTTTCTTTTTTTTTTTTTCATTTGATGCAATTTTATTTTGTGTTATCTACATTTTGAGAAATGGAAGCTTGTGTTGGATTGGATTACGATTTCAACATTCTGAGTTGACTCACCGAGTCGATTTGGTGCTTATTGCTGTTGTTTTTTGTGACCCGTTGATGCAGATAGTTTAGGAAAAAGGGATCTTCTGGGATATTTTGAGGCTAGTTTTTTTTAAGCAATGGATTCTAGAAGAGGAGCTGGTATGGTTTCAATATCTCCTTCACACACGCCAAAATCGAGTGATAAGGCAGCTAGGGATCTACGATTTGCTGAGGGGAATATGAGCGGAAAGCATGATAAAGATAAGGGCGTTAATGTTCAGGTCATTGTGCGGTGCAGGTTAGTAGTTGGACCTTAGTCTATTCAGTTCTTGTCTGGTCTAATCATGAATTGATCAAACTGCCATTTTTTGGGGTAATTTTATTTGCGGGGTTTTGTAGGCCATTGAGTGATGATGAGATGAGATTGAAGACTCCAGTGGTGGTAACTTGCAATGAGGGCAGAAGAGAAGTATCAGCTGTTCAAAATATTGCTAATAAGCAAATTGATAGGACATTTGCGTTTGATAAGGTTTCAGTTCTTCTTAGCCTATTACTGCTGGTTACTTGTGTTATTAGTCAATTTGATGGTTTCCAGCATTCTGTTGCCATGGAGGCTAAGATACAATGTGGGATGATTTTGTCTAGGTATTTGGTCCAACATCCAAACAGAAGGACTTGTATGATCAGGCAGTGTGTCCAATTGTCTTTGAAGTATTAGAGGGCTACAACTGCACAATTTTTGCATATGGTCAGACAGGAACTGGAAAGACTTACACAATGGAGGGGGGTGGAAGGAAAAAGGTAGGTACTCTCTCTTTTTTTCCCCTTTTAGCCTACCAATTAATTCGTTATTTTCTTCCACGAGGTGTTAACTTTTCACCCTTGCCCGGGTAGAATGGGGAATTTCCGAGTGATGCAGGTGTAATTCCTAGAGCTGTGAAGCAAATTTTTGACATATTGGAAGCCCAGCATGCTGAGTATAATCTGAAGGTTAGTTTCCTGGAGCTGTACAATGAAGAGATAACAGACCTTCTGGCTCCGGAGGAATTATCAAAATTCGTTGATGACAAATCAAAGAAACCAATAGCACTTATGGAGGATGGAAAGGGTGGAGTTCTTGTTAGAGGCTTGGAGGAGGAAATAGTTTGTACTGCTGATGAAATTTATAAGATATTAGAGAAAGGTTCTGCTAAAAGGCGAACAGCGGAGACCCTTCTTAACAAACAAAGCAGCCGTTCACACTCAATATTTTCTATTACCATTCACATCAAGGAGTGCACCCCTGAAGGGGAAGAGATGATTAAATGTGGGAAACTGAATCTTGTTGATTTGGCTGGTTCCGAGAATATCTCCCGCTCTGGTGCTAGAGAGGTGACAAACATATATAACTAGCTCAATTTCTTTCCATATAAGCTTTTCTATTATCCTGGATAAAGATTGCGCACGTGACATTCTTAGTTATGTAAATTACTTGATGCTGCAAGTTCTAACAGCACTTGGCATTGCGTTTCCCTGCAGGGAAGAGCAAGAGAAGCCGGTGAAATCAACAAGAGTTTGCTTACTCTTGGTCGTGTAATAAATGCTTTGGTGGAACACTCTGGTCATATACCGTACAGGTAGTATACTACTACAGGCTATTGATTCATTTTGTTATAAGTAGCAGAGATGTAACAAGAGACTGATGGAATTTACTTACTTCTGATGACAGGGACAGCAAATTAACTAGGTTGCTTAGAGATTCTTTGGGAGGAAAAACAAAGACGTGTGTAATTGCAACAGTGTCACCTTCCATACATTGTCTTGAAGAGACGCTCAATACTTTGGATTATGCTCATCGTGCCAAAAATATAAAGAACAAACCAGAGGTCAGGAGTTTTTCATTGATCAATTATTAGTCTACACGTCAGCCATTTTGAAGTTTAGCTTCATCTTATGCACGGTCTAACCGTTTCACCTTCTATTTGATCTGTCTTTCAGATCAATCAGAAGATGATGAAATCAGCAGTGATGAGAGACCTGTATTCTGAGATTGACAGGCTGAAGCAAGGTTTGTAGTTATTCTGTTTATGCTATGCACTTGCGTGCAATCCTACTCACATATTCCTGCATAAATTGGAATTTTCAAGGGAGCATAACAATTTTTCTAGAATGTACATGGAATCTGATTTTTTAAAGTGTTTTTTTTTTTTTTTTTTTGGGGGTCTTGTAGAGGTATACGCTGCTAGAGAAAAGAACGGAATTTATATACCAAAAGATCGATATCTACAGGAGGAAGCAGAGAAAAAGGTTCAGCCTGTTCAAATCATCCAATAATGAAACATTTTACCAAAGATTTCTTATAGTTTAATTTGTCAACTTGTCTTTATTCAGGCCATGGCCGAGAAGATAGAAAAGATGGAACTTGATTTAGAGTCCCGGGACAAGGTAATGTTTTGGGCATCATTGCCTTCTTTAAGGCATACATTATGGCTGCTTTGGGAGACAAGTTGACTTACTGATCTATGATTTCTGTGCAGCAATCTGCGGAGCTTCAGGAACTTTACAAGTCTCAACAGCAACTGTCAGCAGATTTAACCAATAAACTTGACAAAACTGAGGTAACGACAGCCATTTGTCATTGTTATAATCCCAGCCATATTTGTTCACCTGTTCTCACTGGATGCTATAACCATTTTCCTTTTCTTTGTGATCTTCAGAAAAAGCTGCAGGAAACTGAGCATGCTTTGTCTGATCTTGAAGAGCGGTTCAGACAGGCTAATGCAACAATAAAAGAAAAGGAGTACCTGATATCCATTCTTCTTAAATCTGGTGAGGCTCCTGCAGATTTACATCTATAATGCCCAGAGTAAAACAATACCCATTTTACAGTAACATGACATCATCTTATGTTCTGTTCTACCAGAAAAATCACTTGTCGACCGGGCTCTTGAGCTTCGAACAGAACTTGAGAATGCTGCATCAGATGTCTCAAATTTGTTTGCAAAGATTGGTTTGTACCCAAACCTTATTGACTCAAAAATAGGTCTGGGATGTATCCAATGGCCTTATACTATTAGTTTTGATGTGTCATATCAGAGCACAAGGATAAAATTGAAGAAGGCAACAGAGTTCTAATCCAGAAGTTCCAAAACCAGTTAACTCAACAACTTCACATCTTGCATAAGAATGTGGCTACTTCAGCCACACAACAAGAGAAACAATTAAAGGAGATGGAGGAAGATATGAAATCTTTTGTCGCCAAAAAGACAGAGGTACTGTCAGTTTGTCACCATGAAGAATAACGCATGCCTGTATTGGTTTAATACTTTACAGTACGTTTTATAGATTATACTTTCTTTCAGGCCACTGAAGGGCTTCGAAACTGCTTGGAGAAGTTGAAAACTACGTATGGTTCTGGTATAGAATCTTTGGACAGTTTATCAGAAGAACTTGATGGGAATTCACAGTCTACTTTTGGTCACTTGAATTCTCAAGTCTCTGAACATTCTTCAGCTCGGAATGAGGTATGTTTCTCTTGCTTGCATGCGAACTGGTGCTATGTTTCTCAGAATGAGGTACCGTTACCATCATGTTGACCAATGTTTCCCAAATTGCAGCTATTCAAAAACATTGCTTCAGAGGCTGACACATTGCTCAATGATCTTCAAGATAGTCTCCACAGTCAAGAGAACAAACTTAGTGCTTTTGCAGAACAGCAACGCGAGGTTGGTATCTTGGAAGATGACAATATTAACTCCAAACCTCAGGGTTCATTTATTTATTCAATTATTCACATGCTACAGGCTCATCAAAGATCCGTTAAGAGTACAAGAGCCATCTCTCAAATAACCGGAAACTTCTTTAAAACATTAGATTCACACGTGTCAAACTTGGGCCAGATTGTGGATGAAGCACAGAATGTGAATGATCAGAAATTATCTGATCTGGAAAAGAAGTTTGAGGTGATTTATTTTCCCTTAACCTGAAACTAAAATTTTGTACTTGTTGGTTCCATGCCCTTAAATTCTTTTCTGAGCAACACTTCTCTCCCTGCAGGAATGTGCTGCCAATGAAGAAAGACAACTCTTAGAGAAGGTGGCAGAGCTGCTTGCCAGTTCAAATATTAGGAAGAAACAATTGGTATGATACCTAAGAAAACCCAGCAGGAAGCCAATCTGGTGGTCTTCTTCATATCAATAGAAATCTCTTTTTGGAAAGCAAAAGTGAAGATCCTATTTTGTAGTTATACTTTTCAAGTATTCTCTAAGTTTAGTTTATCATTGTTGCATCTTTGAACTTGAATTCACATTAGATCAGGCTTAAGCAGTACTAGGAAGGGTAGAGCCCTTTGACCACTGTTCCTTTTAAGCCTCTAGCTTAGAGGTGTATCTGATTGATCTGGGGGTCAGGATTAGAGAAAACCATGGTTCTCAGATGTACTTATGTTATTGTTGGTGTCTGTGTATGTGCCTACTAACCTTCATGTATTATATGCTCCAGGTTCAAGAAGCAGTCAATGGCCTTCGTGAGAGTGCAGCCAGTAGAACTAACAGACTGCAACAGGAGATGTCAACCATGCAAGTTGCCACTGCCTCCGTTAAAGCAGATTGGGAGAATTACGTAGAGAAGGCAGAGAGCCATTATTTAGAGGATAATGGTGCTGTGGAGACTAGGAAGAAAGAAATGAATGCAGTTCTCCAGAACTGGTAAAAGTTGTTGCTTGTGTTAAAATTTCTTTTACATTTAACACCTCATGTAATTAATTTTCCTTAAAATACTTTTTGCAGTTTGCAAAAGGCAAAAACAGGCGCACAACAGTGGAGTGATGCCCAAGAATCCTTGTTCAGCTTAGAAAAGAGCAATTTGGACTCTGTTCATGAAATAGTCAGGTAAAATTCTCAAGTTTCTTTCTTTTTTTTTTTCTTCTTTTTCCATCTAAAGCCAACGAATGTGTATTTTCTTGCAACTTTGAGACATAATTTACATTTGGTAGGTCGGGAATGGAAGCCAACCAATCCTTACGTGCACACTTTTCTTCTGCTGTATCATCTGTGCTTGAAGATGCTGATGTTGCAAGCAGAAATTTCCTTTCCTCTATTGATCGTAAGTCAACTCTTTCAACCTTAGATTCAAAGTTTCAGGTTGAAATTCGGTTCATAATATACTTCCCAATCTTGTTCACACTTTAAAAATCCCTCTGCAGATTCATTGCAACTTGACAATGATGCACGCGAGAACCTTGATTCACTGATTGTTCCTTCATGCGGGGAACTGAGGGAACTAAATAGTGGACACCACCACAAGATAGTGGAGATCACTGGCAATGCAGGAAAATGCCTACTAGAAGATTACGTGGTAAGAACCCATTTGAATATTAGATTTTGCCATTTTCCTTCTGCAATCTTTCCCTTCGGGATGACAAACATATCAATTTAGCATATATTCAAGACCGCAACATCTTTAGTACCCTCTTAAGTGTTATTAATGCAATTGTGATTATGATATTAGGTTGATCAACCATCATCCTCAGCACCAAACAAGAGAGCATACAATCTTCCAAGCATTGCTGCCATTGAAGAACTTAGAACTCCAGCTTTTGAGGAGCTGCTGAAGTCGTTCTGGGATTCAAAATCATTAAAGCAAGCAAATGGAGATGTAAAGCAGCATCTACTTGAGGCTGCATACTCGTTAAAAGATTCTAGGCATCCCCTCACTGCTATTAACTAAGTGTGGTGTTCTTAGAACCTAAGTAGAATCAAGATTCTTAGTAGTAAGAATCTGTACAGGGTATAGCAACAGTTTGTAGAGAGCGTAGCTAATATTCGATTGTTGATTGCTTCATTCATTGAAACACATTTATTATGGTTGTGCTTAGGTGAAGCGGATATTTGATAATATTGATGTCTTTTCATTCTTTTTGGTCCTGGAATTCTTGTAATTCCTTCGGCGTTTTGATAAATGCAATGAGGAAAAACCTTTGTAGCTATCTGTAATCACTTCAGTAGCATATTTGCTTATTAGAAACTGAAAGAAATGCATGTTGAACTCTAAAGAAAAAGTGTAGTTAAAGATTCAACTGTAGTACAATTTCAGCCGCAAATCCAAAATTTAAAAAAATAAAAAGTTGTTGCTTCAAAAGAAAAGCTTTCTACTTAAGTTCTTAAACGGGACATCTTTGAAAAATTGCGATGCTCCTATTCTAGGTTTGCTCTTTTCTGTTGGGCTTCGTAGTAACGCTTTTGTAAGATTTTCTCCAACTCTTTTTGCCTTTGAATCTCTTCCAACATAGTGTTTCTCCTGTTTGCTGCAGCAATTTGTTCTTGTTTTGTAAAACTCGGAAGCAGTGGAGTTGCGTCTCAGCATTCTCCATCAGCTTTTGGGTAGCTTCAATTTGGGAACAAAGCTGATTAGCTCTTTGCTAATAACCATTGCTAAGAATCTTTATCTTGTCCTCCAGCCTCTCTGCTTTCTTGTTATGATCATTCATCCTCTTCTGTATATCGTAAACTTCTGCCTTTAAAGCTGCTATATTCTTCTTCGTGTCACCATCAGTTGAGCATGTCTGGCGAGATTCGGTAAAATCATCAAAATCTCTATCCTCACGCGCCTTTGTGAACTCAAATCTCCTCCAGAATCACATCTCTAGCCTCTTTCAGTTCATCTTCTCCAAAATGTTCGATGTCTATACTATGGCCGTGTTGTACCTATACTAATTTGTTCTCATACTGAACAAAAATTTTATCCAAGGTCATTCTTTTAGTTTTTGCCTGGATGAGTATTTAACTATTTTTCACGTGCATCGCATATCACCTGTGTCTTGGGGCAATTTTGATATCTTTTAATATTTTAGCCTACACGAGTCAAAGAAAAGCCTAATTTTGCCAAAATGAAAGAGCATGCTAGAGATGTTTGAGCCTTGCGCAAACATCTCACTTCTAATTGAGCGTTGAATTTCATAATTCCCGACTATAAATTACACGTGATCAAAAACTCCGTTGAATGATTTAATCATCCAGTCTTATAATGCCTATTGGTTTTTTAAGATATTATTTATTATTGGTATTAATGTAAAAGTGAAAAATATCGACTTGTTGAAATTGTTCATGTCGAGTGACTGTTTTGTCGATTAACAATATCCGATGCAATAGTCGATAAAGATTAAAATCCAACTTCTCTGTGTGTGTGTGTGTGTTTTTTTTGTTGTACTGTTTAGTGATTAATTAATATCTATTTAACATTGACGTTAAGTACAATTTGCAAATTTCTCAATCCTTTTTTTATTGTTCATTTCTCAAAATTACAATCGTCCTGATCCAAGTTTCGGGTTAATTAACAACACATTTTCAAACTACTTTGGTTTCTAAGTATCTGTTACAATCTACAACCTAATTAAATCAATAGACTTAATCACGATGATCATATTCACCTCTTAAAGCTAAAACTATAAATTTCTTGTAATTCGCATAATTTCCTTGGCTAGCAACATTAGGTGATTCCTATTTCTCTTCCCCGAATGATTTAGTCTCCTCGACTCAATGTTAGATCTCATTAGGTATTAGGGTATTCATTCAAAAGTAACTCCCAATCGTAAGTAACACTAACACAATTAGACACTTTGGATGTGCAGCAGCCAACCAGTATGTGAGTGTAATGGGAACAAAGCTGAAATTAACAGCGAAATATGGAAACCTAAGTGATTTTCTCATAGGGTTCTTGTTCATGAACCGTTAAGGAGAGAATGGAGTAAAAATCCGAAGGTATATATTATCTCTGAAGCGAATAAAGAATATGAAAAGGGGACAACATAAAATAGAAATTCAAATAATTAAATCAGAAAAGAGCTTATAGTTGCACCTGAACCAGATATGATTTAGAAATTTGAGAGTAGCTACAACATATGAAAGATAACAAAAGACGCATGAAACATAACAAATCTGATGCAAATCAGTTGCAAGATCTCACCAGTGAAGTTGATGCTCAGGTACAACATTAAAGTTTGGTTGAATCCAAGTTACAGACTCTATAATCTCGTGTAGTTCATATGATGTTGTACTAGAGTAGTTGCCCGTAACAGAGTGATATTTCATGTTATCCAAACTGTAAAACACCCCAACCAGACGATCTTTAAACTTGGGAAGATACACCCGATTACTAACACCATGATCAGTTGTAACGAACGATGCGCTATGGCTGAAAAACAAGCTCTTCTTCGGCAAATCTAGAACTGGATACCATCTCCACCTTTCAAGATCTAAGTGTATGACATATATGCCATTATCATTACAATTGAAAACTCCCAACAGTTTTCCTTCATCTTCTAATAAAAAACTTTGGCGTATCATACCTTTCCTCAGCTGTCTCCATCCAATTTCCTTAGTTCCCTTAATTGTCTCCGTCCAATTTTATTGAACAATTTAGAATGAATAAACATTGTGCGTACATCTTGTTCAGGATCAAAAGCACCAACATTTCGTTCTTCGTCTAAAGTATAAAATGATCCATTGTAGAAGACAGGATTATGGGTGGAAAAGTAAAATTCTTCATCTTTGGAATACTTATGTAGTTTCTATGATTTCTCACCATGTCTTATAATGCCAGTCGTATTATTTCTATTTGAGATGCCAAAAACTTTGCAATTTGGGGAAGTCGGTGGAGATGTAAAACACATCAGTGAAGACAACGTCGCTTTTTGGGAGTTCATAGTGTTTATTTGTGATTTGATTGTAGAAGAACAAATCAAGATTGGGGCGTGACATCAACAACCAACCAAACTTGGAGCATTGGACGATGGCACCTTTCATTCCAGTAGCACTGACATAAAAATATTCATGGTTGATTGGATTGTAAAATTTATATCTTGACATATAAGACTTGGTGAACATCAAACTTGGACAGGAATAATAGTAAGATGACACCGGGCAAATCCGTAGATGGTGGGGCTAATTGTTTAACAGCGTTACATGATTTACAAGTGGCTCTAAAAGAACATCTGTCAATAGGGGAGAGATAATATAATAGAAAACATAACAGATAATGAGGAAGATCAGACCAACAACAATCATGATGCTCCTCCCCTGCTTATCCTACATTATGAAATTTAGTTGCTTCCATAGAAACCGCATTAAGCCGGAATAAAATTGCCTTCCATTCTGTGGGGCTGAGGAGGTGGAATTGGTCTATTAAATTGCCTTTGATTTTGTGGGGCGAGGGGGGAGGGGGGATTGGTCTATTTATAAAACATATATAGGCGATAGTCTTTATTTATGAACGTGCTTCCTAAACCATCTTTTGGTATTAGGAACTTACGAAAAAATTAGATCTAAATCGGATCCAAAAAAGAGAATCTCACCGATACTTCCCCGATCCCTTCTAACCGTGAAACTGTTACTAAAAATTGCAAAAGACCTACTAAACTTCTAATTTATTAATTGTGGCATCTACATATACGTATTATACATATCAGTAGGCAAGAATCGCCTTTTCTTGCAGTAGTTTCATCGCTTTTCCTTCCGGTTGTCAATTCCCACAACTACACATCATCTTCTGCACTATTCGATGATCAATCCAAAGTCGAGTGGTGCAGAAGAGAAGGCTGACAGTGCGAAATAACACTTTTGTACTTGAAAGGAAGTTAGAGGGTTAGTTTTTGGTTATTCTATTTCTTTTTCCCTTCATTTAATTGAAGTTAGCTTCTTCTTGACACAATTTTGATGGATTTGAGAATACTCAATTTTAAAAGCATCGCAAAGTATACATAAAAAATTGTTCCTGAGGGATGTACCTCATATTTATACTATCAAAAAATATATATAAAAAAATTGTTCAACTTATCACATGCATTATAACACTTCATAAGTAACGTAACCTCTGAATGACATAAAATCAAACAGTTTCAACTGGCAAAATCAGTTAACCTATTACATATGCCACTCACTATGCTCCTTTGATCGGTGGATATATATTTATCATTTGGTGGGAAAATAAAAATTTTATGTAATTTAAATGTTGCTTTGAGAAATGAGGATAATTATAGTTCTCTAACTAAAACCTTATTAGTTTGGTCCATCTTTGCATCATATTCTTCAAATGAAAGAATATCTAGGGGATTCATTTGTGTATTATATAAAATGTCTCCTTTTTGTGGAAGAACGTGACATCCAATTAAATTGTGTCAGATTTGAGTTTATAAATCTTACTCCCTCCATCCCAAAATTTTTGTTCAGTTTAGATTTTGTACTTTTAGTTCAATTTATATTAAAAATAAGAATATAAACTCTACAATTATTTCAGGACGGAGGGAGTACATTTCAGTTCACATATGTTTATAATCTTATAAAATTTAAATATTTATTACAAGATGCTCAACTAAATCTCTAACAAAATTAATGGGTAAACCCTACGGGCAAAGTTAAAACATTTCTTGAGCTTTCAAAAAAAAAAAAAGCATTTCTTGTGATATATAAAATATTTCTTCATATCTTTAGTTATCGAAACCAGTTGATTGAATATATATATATATATATATATATATATATATATAATTCTAAAAGTGACAACAGAATTTGAAATACTTCAATTTTATATGATTAAACATACATAAACTACAATACACGCTTCAAAAACTTCTACGTGTCACAATTTGATTGGATGTCCTAATAAAACTTTAGTCAACACGCCCTTGACAAACGTTTTTTTCTTTTATAGAACCAAACATAAGCTCTGGATTA